TTTCCATTTTCCTCCCAACTGAAGTTGAATAATTAATATATCCCAATAAGTCCTATGTAGTGGAAGGAAGGGTATATATTAGCAATGCGGAATGCGTTGCTAATATATAACCCTGTCAGGTCGACCGCCACGTGGTCCGCCTGCTGATTCCAGGTGTATTCATCGCGATGAGCTAACTGATCTGCCCTTATATTTTCGCCCGTCATCCCTCACTGGTGCCTCGCAAGCGTATACTTTTAGCGCAGGCGGATGTAACATTCTATTATATTCCATTAAAAAAAAGTTCTATGTAGTATGTATTACTACTATAGTTTATTTCAATAAAACATAATGAAAATGCAAAAAAACGAATGATTGATCCGACCATAGACCGTCTGCTCATGTCCAATAGAATAAAATTAATTAATCAATTGAATGTTTCGATTTGTTAGTAATTACATTTAGACAGTATTTCCGTGATAATTTCAAAAACAATTGGTCGTTGGAACAAAAAATCATTAATTTCTATCGAAACAGACCAAAATAGAGTGAGGATCATAAGAATAATGAAAATCATCATTATCGCCAGTCATTTACTTAACCATAGGAATTTTTTATTGATTGATGTCCCTAAGCTATAGCCATAAACCGGTTCTAAGCCACCTGCATGAATCGAGTCTCTGCAATATTAATGATGTCGTACTATTTAACTAGTAGCGACAGTGGCCAAGCAATTTAGAAGCACGACAGTGCAAATTATAGTACTATAACCCGAGTTACATACACTAATCTTAACCGCAAAAAGTTTATAAAAAACAAAAAAATGTGTTAATTCCATATATGGAATCCGTGAAACAGAAGCGTGGAAGCTATATATGTATATATTTTAAGTATTTTCTCTTATCTCGTAACTATTTCATGTATTCTCTTCCAGTCCTATTCCAGGCCACATCTTTGACCGGACATTTCTATACAATATGACATTATCCTTTCACTATTTATAAATTTAAAAAGTAGTTTAGTAGTAGTAGTTTCCCATAATAGCAATAAATTATTTAGAAAGTGTCCAATTATTGAATTTCATTATATTTTCTTATATTGTGATTGCTAAAAGAGCGAATTGAGAAACTGTCAAGCTCCCTATTTGGTAAACGTAATAACTAAATCAATAAATAACAAAAAGACAATCTTGTCTTACTCTATGATGAACTACATAAATTTTTCTTAATCTACTCTATCAAAAGCCTTCTGAAGATCTACAAAAGCTATTTGTGTATTAATTCCCAAATCCATTCTTCTATCTATTATAAGACTCGAGAGTTAAAATTGCCTCGCGCGTATATCTGTTTGCTCTAAATCTATACTAGTCTTCGCTAAATTGATTGTCTATTTTTGATCATATTGTATGTTGTATTATTTTAAGAATTATCTTGAAAGTGTGATGAGATATTATAATTAGACTTTTAATTTTATATTTTTAAATTTATTACTTCTGTAGTATTGTTATCCACCATTTTGTCTCGATCTCATATTTTTAGAATCTTGACATTTCCTTCACTTTATATCTATGGAGCTACAATTTTAATAAAAGCTAATAATAAAACTAATTAACTTAATTAGTTAATTAGCATCTAACTCTAAAAAGCAAAAGACATTGTAACATTATTCGAGTCATATACAGTATATAATAAGCAAATTTAGATGCAATAATGTTTTTTTTTGTGTACTATATTGTAATCAAAGCATTGTGAAATTACATTTAATAAACTACATATAATAACTGTATTAATAATAGAATTATACTAATATATGTATTGAAATAGATTATCATGCCATGTATGGTAAAATATGGAAGAGTAGGTAATTTAATAAAATATTTTTTTTAAACAAATTTCGCTCATAAGGAAAGGATGGTAAAATGGTAAACTAACCCTCGGCAGAAGTACAGTCCAAAAGTTCCAGAGAGAGAAACCCGTGTACTGTGTGGGCAATATCTAAGAGTACCATACTCTCTACATCTTTTCCAGGAGTCGGGAGTGAGTCGCCTTAAAAACCAACCATCTGAGGTCTTATTGTTATTATTTATTAAACTATAAATAAATATATTAAAAAAAAAATAGTAAACATACAAGGATTTTCGTCTCTCATCTGTACGTAAAAGCTCGCTTGCTATAACGTAATTTAAAGCAGTGGCTAGAGTACCTACGAAGTTAAACCACATCGCTTCAACTGCAATTTGCCTGTAATACCGTAGAATCCGACTTTTGGTCCTATTATCCGAGCTGTTACTTTTTATTGTACAGCTTGTTAATTTTTATGACAACGATTTTGTAGTATTTTTGACATTTCACTGGAAGTTAACCTCTTTAACGATGGCTTTAAAACGATTTTAATTTCTAAAGGTTATATTATTGTGTATAGATTTAGACTACAATGACATTCTTTTTGTAATGGTATAAAACTAGCTGTATCATGCGGCTTTGCCCTTGTAAATCAGTAAGTATATAGTATATATATAAAGTATCCTATAAGCTATGTTAGCCTACCTGTGTAACAAATTACGTTTAAATCCGTTTAATATTTTTCGCTTGAAAGAATAACAAAATTATATTAATAGAATTTAAAAACAGTTCTAATTTTAAAATTGTCTTGTCATTCTAAATTTAAAAACTAAACTGTGTAATTTAACTGAGATCTAATAAAATATTTATAGTTTTATTTTTTTAAATTTAGGAATTTTTTTTTTATTTATTTACACAAATATAGATGTATCATATTAAGAGCATTCTGTCTCATTAAACTTTTTTTTTATTTAAATGTTAAAATCCTTATTAGCTCTAAACATATGTCGAGATTATAATATAATTTATTGTCACACATATGTAAAATACGAGGTCTGTCCGGAAAGTTCGTATAAAAGTGTTCTGGAATGCGAGAAAGAGGAAGGTAAGCGCAGGACCCCTTCCTTATGTCCCTAACAATGCTTCAGTTCTGGTCTGACCGCCGTGCGGTAATTGGCTTGTCACACGCCATCTGTGAAGTTACCTCTTAACGAAACCCCGTCGGCATGGAGCCCGTGTTGAAGAGCAGCGCGTCGATAGTTTCTCTCGAAACTCGGCAAGAAGAGTGAAACATTCAGAACATTTGGGGATGATGCTGTAGGAACCAACCGTGACTAAAAAGATTCCGAGAAAAATTCGTCCCTCCAGGCCAGACAGTTGATGGAAAATTCTAAATGCTCAGACGCCTCAAAGCTCGTGTGGCACGAGTTCGTCCAGAATTGGCGCGAGAGGGGCGTTGGATTCTTATCAGACAATGTGCCCACACCTCTCTTGTTGTCCGTGAGTTTTTGAAAAAAATTCCATTACAGTGAAAACTGTATTTGGCCCCGTGTGACTTCTTCTTGTTCCCAAAAACCAAATTGGTACTTCGGGGGCGGCATTTAAAATGAGATAAAAAAAGCTACGACGGGGCATAAAATACAACCAGAGGACTTTATGGCCTTCTCACAGTGGAAAGCGTTGGCACAAGTGCATTATGTCACATATCTACTTTGAAGGGGATAAAATTGATTTACCTGAATAATTGTAAAATTTTTTAAAAAACTTTTATACGTACTTTGGACAAAGTACATCAATTAACTTTATTTAAACCATCGTTATATGAACCCGTGTTAATGACGATAGTTTTAAATAAAAAAGTACATTCACATTTAAGACATATTCAATGACATTCCAAAAAATTCATTACCATGACATTGGTTCAAATCTACTTGTTTAAATTACACTCCTTTTATCAGAAATTGTGTAAAAAAAAAAACGACAGTGAAATCTGTAAAGAATGTCACAAACAGGGCGCTATAAAATTTTATATGCGACTATCTGCGCATAAAATGTTATGGTACACGGGGCTATCACAAGAGAAACACATATCTACTTACGATAATATTTGAAATTTATTCTGTTAAAAGTTTTGAGTGGAAAAGTATTTCTAACCACAGTTTAAAAATACTATTACTTCAAACAAAGGGACTGTAAAGCTGGAGATTAATGCCAGTATGATTTGGTTTCAAGAAAATATACACGTAATTTAAAAAACTTGGTAACATTTTGTCGCCACATCATGTAAAGAATTTTTTTTATACTACTTAGAATAGCAAACAACTGACGGCCCACTTGATGGAAAGTGGTAACCGTCGCCTATAGACATGAGCAGTACAATGGACATAACAGAGTAAACTGTTTTGCCCATGATACCCCCCATGCGTTGTCATTCCAGTGCTCTCAGGTGTTATTCCTTTGTACCCTGTAAATTTACGCCATATCCCACCCTTTAAATCGAAACAGAACCATGCAGAATACGTGTATTTAGTATACCATATTAGCATTTAACTGTCCACTGCTGAACCAAAACCTCTCCCATAGGAGGAGTTCTGGCAGTATTTGCCGGCGGGCAGGCGGATTGGCAACCGCAGTTAGACTTTGTTGATGCTCTGAGAGGAACGCTGCTACCCATCCTACGTCCATTAAGTCCCCTTAGTCACCAATTACGACACCTACGGGAAAGGTAGGGGTGATCCATTCTATGCCGGGACCGCGCGGCAATTACGGTATTATAGTACAATTTTCTTAAATATGTGTATATAAACTCGTTACCTGAAATAAATAAGTAAATATCATTATCCACTTTGTATTTTGAATCGTATCTTAACCGTACGTTTTTCATTATTATTTTCATCATATTTTTACGTTACTGTCCACTGCTGGACATAAACTATCTTCATAGGGGGAGTTTTGCCAGTAGCTGTCACGCTTGGCAGGCAGGTTGGCAACGGCAGCTATGCTTTTAGTGATGTTTTAAGAGGGATGCTGCTAGTGCTGCCTGCCTCTAGACCATTAAATTCCTTTAGTTACCTCTTACGACGCGCATGAGAAAGAAAGTGGTAGTTTATTCTATGTCCGGACCACATAGTGGTAAGGTGCAACTTATACAATACTAAATATATACGTAAATCTTAACAGGCGACATCTTCGTACTGGTGTTCTCGATGGACAGCCGTGAATCCTTCGAGGAAGTGATCCGCCTTCGGGAGCAGATACTGGAGACGAAGGCAAGCGCTACCAGTGGTGGAAGCAGGGGGCGACGCCAAGTACCGAGGGTGCCGATGGCTATAGCTGGCAATAAATGCGACAGAGAACTCAAGTAAGTCTGTAGCTGAAGACATTTTTGAAAAGATGTAAAGGTATGCAATAAAATAAAAGATATATAATAACACTAGCTGACCCACACAACTTTGTCTGCGTCATATAAGAGAATGAGAGGGTTGAGAGTGGGGCGTAGGCACTTATAATATAATTTTAAACGAGCTGAAACTTTCTTTAACAACCCACTTGAAAACGATTGCTCAAAATTTGTAATTTGGTAACTACAATGCTAATTTGAAATCACGCGGACGAAATCAGGAGAAACATTGTATGTTTATAATGGGTAATTATATTAGTAAATTTCGCTTTTAACCGTTTTTGTAACATATTTTATCGATGCTCCTCTCTTACTGGTCCGTAGCCTTCCTCGATAATTGGGCTATATAACACTAAAATAATTTTTCAATTCAAACCAATAGTTCCTAAGAATAGCGCGATCAATCGAACAAACAAACTCTCCGGTTTTATAATAGTAGTTTAGATTGGATTAAAATATACGAGAGAGAAATACAATTAATTCTTACGCACTCTTCTACCTCTATATTCTACATGTTAAAAAACTATGTTTCAAAATGTAACAGGTGTCAACTTATCTTTGTCACTGTTCTCTATTTCTCTTTTTCTCCTATTCTTAAATACATGGCTATTAATAATCATTTATATATAAGCTATTGAATTTTACTATAAAATTCAAAAAACTATAGAAATTATTATTTATTGCTTTCCAGTATGTAAACATGGAAAATATCTCAACATTCTTAAAATAAATATATTTGTGCAAGCATGTGAACGTGGCCTTATATTATAACCAATGTATTCTATAACATACATTTTTAAGATTAAATTGTGGTATGATATATCAATAATGAACCATTTCTAATTACTGTCATAGATTTATAAGTACGTATTTATTTTCCCAGGACTGTCCAACCTGAAGAAGCTGTAGCGTATTGTTCCACCCAGGACCCAGCTTGTGTATTCGTCGAGACGTCTGCTAAGAAAAACTATCGGGTCGACGACCTCTTCTATGAATTATTCGTCGTAGCCAATTTGCCATTAGAAATGGCTCCTAATCATCACAAACGTGTCAGCACTGCGTTTGGGAGCCCCTGCACGTTACCGCCCACAAGCAGCCAAAGCAATAGAAATAAGAAATGCACGCTTTCAATAAAGAGAAGGTTGTCGGACGCGTGCGGTGTCGTCGCACCCAACGTTCGAAGACCCAGTATCCGTACTGACCTTATGATTATGAGAACGAAGACTTGTGCCAAAGGGGACAGTGATAGCGCTAGTGGCAGCCCCAAGCTCAATCTTAACAGGCTAGTCAGACCTACTGGTCAGAATGACAAGAGGTCGTGCGTCATTCAGTGATATTTAAAACGTTTTGAACTTGAATTGTCTTTATGCTAAAGAATTATAATGGCGATATATTCTTTGATGTATTGGACAGTGGTGCTATATAAATATGTATCGGAAAAAAAAGTAAAAAATAACAAAATATTGTTGCCACTATTTCAAATAAATTTGAGAATTTAAAACGAAATCCTTAACCCTAATCAATATTACTACCAACATGAAATTCAAAATTTATATCTATATATAATTGTTAATGTTTTCACAATTTTTATTCATTCTTTGTCATTATAATTTTTATCTACCAAACTATATCGATTACTAAATAATATATCAGACTTTATAAAGAAGTTTAACCTTGAAGACATAACCTTCTTCATATTACATATCTCCTTGTTATTATGTGTTATCAACTCTCTGTAAATAAATTAAATAATTTTATATATTACAAACAACTGTTCCTTAAAATTAATATTTCCTTCTTTTTTTTTTCTCAACTACCTTCAAAAAGAAGAACATTCCCAATTGGGCTGTATTTTTTTTATGTTTGTTACCTCATAATGCCGTCAGTTGTAAACCAATTTAGATTTTTTTATTTATTTGAAACGATATATTTACAGATTAATCCTATAGAAATTTTATTAAAATAAGTTCAGAAGTTTATTTTGTAAATCAAAATAACTGGTTTTGTCACAAATGAAGACGGTTTTTTTATCTTTAATTATATTACGTTTATAAAGTGCTCAAAAGGATTGTACGGTTTTCGAATTATAATCCAAAATGACTTTCTTTATCAGTTTACAAACATTACTTGTAAAAGGTTATTATAATATTACAATTGCATACACTGCTATAAAGTATATCGTAATAGTAAATCCTAAAGGTAAATCGTATGATACCATAGAGAGATTTATATATATCTGAAATACCGTTTAATTTTTCAGTGTTATTCCTACATAAAAACTGCAGAAAGCTCAGAAAACTGTGAATCGATTAGTCTGACAATGCAATTAATTTTCTCGTTGAAAAAAGAATGATTCAGTAAGGAACTCCAACCTCCAACGACTACAGTCCGTTTTGTTATTGCTTTATTTTTCTATTTTGGAAAAATTGGATTACATCTCAATAACTATTGCTTGACATTCATTACAGTCTTTATACAAGGTTTTATAAAAGGTAAAAGGAATACAGCGTATAACTCGGAAATACTTTAGACTGGTTTTGGAATAAAAAATAAAAACAGATAAATGTTCCTGACAATAATCCCTGATGGTGTAGTTAGAGCTATTCAACTATTACCACTGTCGTGATTAATACTCGACATGTCCATATTTCACCGAGAATAATAAATTAATATAAGATGGCAAGGTGCGATCCTATCACCATTACTCGGGTTTATTCGATTTAAGAGTATTTCCATCACTAGAATTTGGGGTCTATAAATCAGGGTACACTACGAGTACTAAGCATGCGTTTGTAGCGTACAATTTCAAAACAAATAATTTAAAAAATCTACAAAATTATTTCACATAAGAGTACAAGAATATTGCGTAATATCTTCCATTCCATTAATATCTACAGAAATCTACATTATTCGTGAAATTCTAGAGGGACGAGCGATAAGAGTAAAATATCTGGCACGCCTCTAATAGTCGCATATGAAGCTGAAACGGCGGAATTACTAAGGTGCGGAATGGAAAATGGAACGAAAAATTTCATTTAAAACATTCACGCAAGTTAATATTATTTTTTCCAATTTTATTATTATAATTTTTACAACTTGATGTAAATATAATATCATTACAGTACGTACAAATTTAATAAGGGGCAGTTAATGAATTAATGAAAAATTACATTAAAATAAAACTGAATATTATGCACCGCGAATGTTATCGAAATCAGTATTTTTGTTTACAATTAAAGATTTAATTACTAGATACAACTCAATATAAATTTAAGTGTTGTTACAGTACAATTAAGGAACTGCTAGTGAATTAAGATAACTTGAATGAGTTTGGATTGTTTGCCTTGTTGCTTTAATGGATGTTAGTACATAAAAGCCATGTGTTATACAGTGTAAGTACGTCGTCGAGCTTGGAATGTGTTACTGATGTAGGAAGATATGTTTAAGTAATAAATATGAACGTTATTATATTATATTTGTTTTATCTTTATCGTCCTCAAGCTATTCCATATCATATTGCTACCCGTGAATGTATTGTCTATAAAAGGAAAATTTAAAAAGAATATCGTTGTTGAAATGGGACCAAATTATGGAAATTGCGCTCATTTCTTTGTTGTTGATTAAAAACAACGCTTCTGAAATATTAATCGTCGCCTGTTTGTCTAAAAAAAGAAATTTGTTTTCTGGGCGCGTTAATGTGAGTCGAGGTGAAATTACGATCACAAAAGCAGTCATCACTCCAGTGGGCACAGATCAATATCTCTAAATGATAAATGTAAAAATATAAAAAAATAAAATATTTCTAAACAGAAATGTAAATTATTCTATGTCTATGAATTAAGTCTACGTCTCCTTTGTTGTCAGCAACAGAATTGTGCTATTTCATTAATATTTTTTGTATTGGATAAAAAAATATTCCTATACCTATCTTTTTTTTTTATTTTTTTACCTGCGTGTATTTCAGAATACCATTAGAACGATGACTGCTTCAAATGAAAAATGTCATAACTAAAATATAATCACAGAAAAAAAAAAACAGTAATATAAATATGTATAATATATATTACATTGCTTAGAAATGAATATGTATGTACTAATTGAAACAGCAGTAATTTTTAATTATTTTAATATAAAAATGTATTTTATGTCTGTATATGTTTATACTCAGATATAAATAAAAATAAACAGTAAGGTTAAGCGCTTTTACGGACCATTATGCATTGTTTATACTTTTCTTACAAATATCAATTTAGTAAGAATTCTGTATCTTTATTTTTTTTTTTTTATTTAATCAATAATATAAAAATAAATCGCTGAACGTGTTGCTAAGCGCAAATCTCTAGAACAGTTGAACCGATTTCGCTAATTCTTTTTTTAGAATATTCCTTGAAGTACAAGGATGGTTCTTATGGAGAGAGACATTTAAAAAATTGCCTGAAAAAGTCTAAAAACAACATTTTTCTATATTCCCATATAAACGATTCGTAATAATACTTAAAAGTCAATTTTAACTTTAATACCCTACCATAAAGTTAAAGTGTTAGTGGAGAGGTTCCAGGAAGGCAAAACAATTGAGTGACGTGGCATGGCGTGTTTTATAATATTTATTTTTTGACATAATATAATTGTTGACTTATTAATTTTATTTTTTCTTTTTTTATCTTTCTAGCTGACCCGGCGTTCCGAATAGTAAGTAGCATAAATATTAAAAAAAAAACTAAAAAGTTAAAGAATCGACTGTTAGACGGTACGAAGTTCGCGGGGTCAGCTAGTATTACATTATAATTTCTCCCATATACTGAGTAATAAATGTACATGATGGTAACCCTATTCACGCAAACATGGATGAAAAAGTTGACCTATTTTTGGCAAAGCATTTATATAGAGACGCTCTCTCTATATATTCTTAGTCCTTACTAATCACTAATGCGAATCGAATATGTGATTATACATGAATGAATGAACAAGTATAATTCAATTATTATATATTTTAGCAGTAGCTTATATTTTAGGAGTTATGGCATTTTTCAAAATTTATTTATTTATTTGTTTCTATTAACTGTGCTATTTTAAAAACCTTGGTATTTTCAATACCATATGTTGACGTCGATGATATAAATATTGTCTTATCTATACTTACTGTGTTATATACATATACATAAATAATGTATCTTTATGTAACTAATCCTTTTTCTACATATACTTCTACCTTTTCTGTAATGCTAATAAAGAGTTGTTTTTAATTACTAAATGTTTTACTGACACCCATAATATACATAACATAGGATGTTAATTAGTAATATTTATGCCTTATTAGGTCGACTTCCACGTGGTTCCCCCTGGAAATCATCGTGAACAATTCTTGTTGAATTCATCACGATGGGCTAACTGACCTGCTTCATACTCACCTATCATCCTTCACTGGTGCCCCGCAGGTGTATACCGATAGCGCGGGTGGGGTTATCATTCCATTATCATCCATTAAAAAAAAATTAGTAATATTATATTTATTACATTGTGTAGTGTTTTATTTCAAACTTTACTTCTCTAGTATAGGTGTATTATGCTTTGTTAACTTACTCACGCCTAAAGCAATCGTGTTTCAACCGTGAAGCAGTTGTGTTTGCATGGCTGTGTTTCGGTTTGAAGGGTGGGATATGGCGTGAATTTACAGGGTACAGAGGAATAACACCTGAGTCCTCAGGAATGACAACGCATGGGGGGCATCATGGTCGAAACAGTATACTCTGTTATGTCCATGGTACTGCTCATGTCTATAGGCGACGGTTACCACTTTACATCAGGTGGGCCGTCAACATGTTTGCCATTCTAAGTTGTATAAAAAAAAGCAGTGTGCCAAAATATAAAAGACGGGTCAAAATATTTAAAAGTATAAGACCTATAAGAGTAAACTGGAGTAAGAAGGGAGCGTTAGTAATAAGGATTAATAGCCCCATTGCTAGCAATATACTCTTCTCGTGGTTCCCCCTGGAAACCATTGTGATTGATTTATTGTTAGATTCGTCACGGTGGGCAAACTGAGCTGCTTCATATTCACCTATCATCCGTCACTGGTGTCCCGCCCATATATACCGATAGCACAGGTGGGATTACCATTCTATTATAATCCATTAAAAAAAAAACAGTAATCCGATCAATGACAAATGTTCGCAATTATTAAATATACGTAAATATTAAAATTCAGAACAGCTTTCCCCTTTTTCAGCAATCACGCTGTATATGTTTTTTTAAAAATTTTATTTTACAATTATTCAGGTAAATCAATTTTATCCCCTTCACGGACAAAATACTCTTGAAAGTCCTCTGGTTGTTGCGTCGTAGCTTTTTTTATCTCATTTATGCAAATGCCGCCCCCGAAGTACCAATTTGGTTTTTGGGAACAAGAAGAAGTGATTTGAATTTTTACTCAAAAACTCACGGACAACAAGAGAGGTGTGGGCAGGGGCATTGTCGTGGTGAAGAATCCAACGCCCCTCTCGCGCCAATTTGGACGAACTCGTGCCACACGAGCTTTGATTGAGCACATCGACGTGAATTTTCCATCAACTGTCTGGCCTGGAGGGACGAATTCTTGATGGACAATCCCCCGAACATCGAAAAAAACAATCAACATTGTCTCGGCCCTCTCTGAATCTTTTTAACTTGTGGACGGTTGGTTCCTTCACAGCATCATCCCCAAATATTTGCCTAATTCGCTCTTATATTTTCAACCTTTTTTAGGGAAAACTCCTCTTTCTCGCATTCCAGAACACTTTTATCTCGTATTGCTTTTAAAGGCACGGACAAAATACTCAATTTGCATGCAGCATAGAATTTCTGATTTGTCACACGTGCTGCATTGGTCCGATTGGTTTCATTTGAAATTTGCATGTATATGTGTATACTACAGGTTTGCAAATAAGTATGCAAATATTGCTAATTCGTATATTTTTAACCTTTTTTAAAAAGAGTTCTCGATATGTTTCTATTTTTTTTTTATGTACGTGACTTTTTCACAGAATCATAACTGATTTTCATAATTTTTTTTTTCATTAAAACTTATATTAGTGCTGCGCTAATTTTGTTAAAATTGAAGTCAGATTTTAGTGGAAATAAGTATAAAGACAGCTTAGATTTAGTTCGTGGATTTTTATTTCAAATTTCCATTGTTATTAAAAATTATAAGGCGATGCGAAGGGAATTGCTTATTATGAAAGTATTGTTGGTATGTATTACGATTGAAATGAGAAAATATGAACAATATTTCTTTTTATTTGACTTAGAAATACAAACAAGCCGACTATCCATCTGATTGAAAGTTTTTTTTATACCACTGAGGTGGCAAGCAAGCATACGGCCCACCTGATGGTAAGTGGTTACCGTAGCCTATGCACATCTGCAATTGAAAAACCAGAGGTATTACGCGTGCGTTGCCGACCCTGAAGAACCCTCTTTACCTCCCTTTTGAAGAACCCCATGATATTGAAAGTGATCAATATCACTTTCAATCTAGATGACACTACGTATAATGACGGATCAGTACCCGTCATTACACGTAGATATCAACAAACATCATCATTGGCATCACTGTGACGATCGTATTACCTCTCATGTGAAAACAAAGATTTGCCTCCGTACCCTGCAATTTTTTTCCGGTACATTTAGGTTCTTGAGTGGCAACCTCGTACGGGTAAACGCAGTGTACAAAGACCTCCCACTAGATGAAGTAATGAACTCAAATAAATTGTAGGGAGTCAGTGGATGCAGGTGGCTCAGGACCATTCTTTTTGGCGGTCTATGGGGGAGGCCTATGTCCAGCAGTGGATAGATAATGGCTGAAATAATAATGATGATAGAGTGGGCCACCACTTCCTTTCCCGTGGGTATCGTAAGAGGCGACTAAAATAACTTAATGGTCGAAGGATGGGCAGCAGCGTCTCTCTTAAAACATCATCAAAGCCTAACTGCGATCGCCAACCTGCCTGCCAAACGTGGCAACTACTGATAAAACCTTCCAACTGGAGGAAACCTATATTCAGCAGCGGACACTTAACGGCTCATATGATGAAGATGATAACCCCGTAATTATATTACCATATCTTATACATCAAACCGAAATATAGACATGCAAATACAAAATAATTTAAAGGTTTTTTTGTAAAGTCTTTTAATATTACTCATACTAAATAATAAATTATTATCATTTCTATATCTACATAATAGAAAAGTACATAATTAGAACCTATTCAAATGAATAGCGACTAATTATGTACCTACCTTTTATGTGTGTATTAGGGTCAGCCTTAGGTATTAATTAAATTATTTTACACATTAATTTACGTATTTTCCGTTTTGTAGTAATAACATGAATAAAATATATAATAGGAAATTTGTAACAAATTCAAATTAATATTAAATTATATTACCCAACTGTTAGGTACTTAATTGAATAAAGAAAAATTGTTTATAAATACATAATAAATATGTATCAAGTGTCTATATACAATTTTCGTATTTTATATAGACACGTGACAGAATTTACGTATTTTTTTTTTATGGAAGTGAGACATTTTATCATAGTATCCTGTATGTTGACCCAAATACAACCCTATTATCTTACAAAATTTTATTAGAATATATACAATAGTTTTTTAGTAAAGCATGTATAGATTTTTTGCAGCTACTATTTTATTGCATATATAAATACAAGTAAATATTATTCCTAATCTATTTTAATAGTCTGTTGATATCGAATAGTTAATACAAATTAAAAATCTGTTATTTGATAGAATGTTTTAATTTGTTACTAGCTTCTTTGATTTTGAGAATATTTATATGGCAATATTAATAAAAAATATTTACCTTTTCGTTATATTATTATTAGAATAGACTATATATGCATTTTTTAATGGTTTATAATGGAATGGTAACCCCGCCTGCGCTAATGGTGTATGCTGCCAGGGCACCAGTAAAGGGTGATAAGTAAGATGATAAGGCAGATCAATTAGCCCATTGTAAAAAATACAGCAGGAGTTCAGTACGATGGTGTCCAGGAGGGACCACGTGGAGGTCGACCTGACATCGACCATGATATTGCTAGCAATGCTACTAGTAGTTCGGATTACTAACAATCCGTTCCACCTCGACTATATATGTTATACTTTATTAAAATACGAACAAACTCAGCGGTTAAATATATTTTCTATTTTAATACCTATTTCTGTTAAACCGCACTCGAGTTGCATGAGTGCAACACAATAGCACTGAAAATTTCATACCAATCCGCTTCTTTTCACGTACAGTTGACCTTTATTACATACGGAATACAAACATCGCAACACCTGAGAATATTTCTCGAGCAATATCTACATCGGGCTTATTTCGAGAAATAATTTTATATCGGCTAATAAAACGAGCAATCAATAGGTAAAAGTACTTTTGCACCTGGTTCTAATTGAACTGGCTGTGTAAATAAGGGAACTTTATGGTACCTACGGTTTGGCTTCGTGTTTATTGCGCAATTGCTACACTTTACAGTTACCGCAAAATAGCTTTTTTTTTTAATAACAAAAACAGTTGTATTGTTCCATGATTTGTTACATTAAATACCTGATCGTTTACGCTTTTTTAATTACGCAATATGGAAATGTTTAATTTGGTATTAGAAGCAATTTATATACAAGAAAAACTATTAACATTCTTATAAAAATGGCAAAAAACAATAGATTGTCTATGGTACTTTACGTAAAAAAACTGGTGGTGTTAAAGGCATAAACTAGTTCTAATTAGTATTATGTAAATTCCAATGATACTGTCCAGGCTGGAATCTTCGAGAACGACCAATCTCAAATTTTACATCAAGGGGCTTCCAGCAAAATATAGAGATTATCTGTCGCTCTATCTCGTCGGCATTTCCAAAGTTTTGACCTGAGGGTATTGTGTTCCGGTATAGAGAGCCGACACAAATAACACATCCTTATATCGGTGGTTTAAATAATTTATTTCTTTTAGCTTATGGTTATGGCATGGGATATACGGTAGGCCATTAATATTTAGGTGAACTAGTAACCTGATATCTTTCTTTCTACTCCTAATCATAATAATTTTATTCCCTTTCTAACTTCAAACGTGCCTCGGTGAGCCTGTCTTAATATAATTGACAATTATATTACTATTCTTTACTCAGTCTAGTAGAATGACTAATAGCTTAAAGTAAAATTGAGCATTAC